GGTAAACTTTCAGCCAAATCAAAAGGGGTCAGGGTCAAAAGTGGTTGATTTGGCGTGGAATGCCCCATATATAGATTAATCCTCTTGCTGTGTGTGTAGAATTGTGTTTGACATGGTTTCCTGGTGTAGTTTTGAATGAGTCAACTAACTTAACTCTCTGAAAGTTGTAAACTAGCTAATATATACAAAATGACGTTCACTTTGATTATTCGCGATTAGTAAGCTTAAATGTATTATTCATTCGTAAGGTAAATTAATTACCGATAAATTCACATTTTCTCTACATTTAGAAGGATTGCAAGGCTTTCGAGTTATTAATTTTCAAGAATTAAATATTAAAAAACTCTAACAGTTAATTGAAGAAGTAAAAACTAATTTATAATAACTGGGTTTCTATTAAAATAGAAAAAGGATTTCGCAACGTTTCTAAAAGACTAGAAAATCGTTTACAATTCGCATCTGATATATTTAGTCTCAATAATAGAGAAAAAAAAACGAACTACAAAAGCTTAGAACGACTGCTTGCAAAAGGTAACAGTCTGTAGTGTTAATTAGACCACCGGTTGCACGATAAATGACCACCAGTTTCACATGTTCTTGTGTAAATTAAACTCTACGTGAGTTACAATGTGCTCTAAAAAAAATGTTCGAATTTGGGTGTTAATATTTAAATTGCTTTTCTTTGTCTCGAGATAAAAAAGTAAATACTTAAATCAGTAATTTTCAATAGCTGTCAGCTCAAAGAGTACAGACAAACTATTTATGAGCTCTAAGAGCTTAATTAACCTTCTGTTGAGCGCTATATAAGCAAATCGCCGGCTAACAACAACTCATCTTAAGAAGTACGGTCAAAAAACTAAAAAAGACGTGACCATCGAAAGGTTAATTGCAAGTAGCGGAAAGTTCCAAGGAAGGTCAACCGCTTTCCAGATTTTTTTTCCGCTCGGAATTTTTCAGTCAATCACTTTTTATTTTACGCTAAATAAAATAAATGACTTTTAAAGTATCAAATGCATTGAAAAGAGTGTTTTTTCTTTATATATGTGTCCACTGATAGGAAAGAGCATAATTAGCTGACTTATAATGTCATAAATAAAAAAAGGACATTCTGCAGCCGAAATGGAAGTAGATTTCACACTTCAATAAAAATAATAAGTTTGAAGACGTTTAATTAATTAAAAGTTTAAATATTTCAGTAATTTTGAGAGAAAACAACGAATGCAACAGCAAATTTCATAAAAATATAGCAGATTTGAATTTAATTTTTATTTGACAATTAAAGCTTATTTAAAGAGCTTTCAGGCACATTTTACAGAAATTCAATACAATGTTGCACTCAAAAGTTATTCGATAAATAAACTGTATAAAAGTATATTTTTAGGATTTTGAAATTTTCAAAATCCTGAAATTTGAAAAATACATAACCGATGAAGCTCATATTTGAACTTGACCTTTGTACACTTATAAAAAAATATCTTCATTCAAGAAAAATATTCTTGATATAAGAAAATTATTTTGAAGAGAACTTCTTACTTCAAGAATTTCTGGTCTTGAGTTCATGCTTCTTGGATTGAGAGATCTAATCACTCCGACCGATAACATTTTTACTTGGTTCAAGACTATATTATCTTCGATCGATACAAGTGAATTCTTTATTCAAAAACGATTCTCTTCAATAAAGAATAATTTTATTTCATTTCAAGAATTATTGATTGTTGATTCAAGAACAAATTTTGCACGACTCATGATGCGAAGCATCAGAGAGTGCTTTACGATCGAAAAATTTTTTCGCCCCATTTGGGCAACTATTTTTAGTATTATAGCCTTGTTAGTTCACGGAATCAAGATATTTTGCATACTATTGTCGAGATAATCTAATGGAGATTAATTCCATATTTGCTAAAAATTAATTTAGTGCAATAGAAACGGAAAAAAATATCAAAATAGGTCAAAAAATTTTCCTGTCCGTCATGTATGAAACTCCGGAAACACTGTAACTTGTGAAAAAATCAATTATTTGAGTTAAATTTTTTTTTTTTAATTCTAATCGACAATTGTAGGTCACCGAATGCGAATGGCTAATTAATTCAGTGTCGTTTAATTACAATTAATAAAAAACGAAAACTACAAGACTGTATACCTATGTATATCCATGCAAAATAACATGGATGGTGATATATCTATATTATAGATATTATGTACATTTAATCCACCAGAGGCGCTTGTGCAGTACCTTCCTAGTACAGCTGTTTTTTCGGCAACTAATTTTGAACAACTTATGTTTTTTTTAATATTTTACAATTAAATGAGCATTATGAGTCGTGTACTTTTGGATTTTCCAAACTTTTTTAATAAATTATTTTTATTGAATCAAGTCATTTTTTTTATCAGTATATTAGTTGCTGGTATTTAAATAAGTGATTTCTTTATAATAAACGAGTCTTATTAGATTCAAACAAATTGTTCTCTTAGAGTGTATAAATAAGAGATATTAATATGAAATATTGTACGATTGTAATTATAAAAATAAAATTGAGTATGTATAAGATGTTACAAGTATAAAATAAGAAAACAATTGACTAAGATTGTTGAGTAGTACCAAGATAACAAGAGGATGAATTACAGGAACCTTAAATATACACTAGGCAGTTGATACAGCACCATTCAAATCAAATTCAACTCACAAAAGAATAAAATGAAGACTTTGATTGAAAACAGCTCAGTTCCAAAGTTTCAATCTCTCGTTCATCTCGCGTGCTCCAGCTGTCTGCTTGAATAAACACTGGCTCTCTAACTTCTGATAGTCGATGTGATGTGCACTCTGCTACTTTACGCGAATCAATCCTCTTCAGGGCTAGTGAGGTGTTAAGACTATTCTTCTTCGCTTTGAATTGCAAAGAGTAAATGAACTCTAGTTTAATTCCTGATAATCACTTTTTTTTTTGTTCGCGTAAATCATCGAAATTATTCTCAATCTAAATTTATACTAATAACCAGATGGAAAAGATATTTTATCATTTTTTTTTTTTGGAAATAATTAATTATGAAAAATTAATTATATTGAAATAAAATTCCGTAGAAAAATTTAATATTTTTAAGGCCAGTTTTTAAATTCAGGATAAAATTATCGCCAGAGTAAATATATACATGGAATATTAGATTCGTTTTTGCATCGGATGATATTTCACCCCAGACTGAAAAACCAGCCCTTAAGGATGTTCATGAACTACGTTAGAGTCAAATGAATACTAACTTTTAATGAAATTTATTGGGGTCTTGAGAAAAGTTTCAAGATATATCAATGATCTTATAATGATTAATAATTTTTAACTTCCCGCTAAGAAAATCGAAGATTTTCAAAAATCGGGAAGTTATTGTTTTCACCCCGTTTTGTATAAATCGAGTTTTCATCATATCTCGACGTTTGAAGGTCACAGGAAGCTTCCCTAACTATCCCCGCGAGGTTGTCAATATGTCTGTATGTATGAATGTGTATGTGTGTGTGTGTGTGTGTGTGTGTGTGTGTAAGTATGTGAATCACTTATAACTTTTGAACGGTTGAACCGATTTCATCGTGGTTGGTGCCATTCGAAAAAGCTTCGCCAAACTTAGATTCCCTGTTAATTTAAATCGATTCGGACCAATAGATTTTGAGATATTTTGAAAAATCTCAAAAAAAATAAGAAAAAAATCATTTTTGAAAGTGGTTTTTTTTGGAATATCTTTTAAACGGCTCGATTGATCAACTTCAAAAACTAATCCGCCCTTGAGCTTGAAAACCCACGCCGATCGGCGCTAATCCGGTCAAAATCGGTTGATTCGTTCGAGAGATAGCGTGAACGAAAGGAAACCGAAAAAAGTGTTTTTTTCACATAACTTCGATATTTCTTTTCGGATCGTTTTTGGTGAAATAAAATAATTTTTAGATCCGATGAAAACTCGACTTTCGAAAATCGGACCGAAATCAATAACTTCCCTTTTTTGAAAAATGTTCAATTTTCTTAGCGGGAAGTTGAAAAAAAAGTGTAGTAATGAAAAGAATAAGAAGCGTACTTTAGTATGCCATTTCAAGATAAAATAAGTAAAACATTAAATGATGTTGAATTGGTAACAAACACCTATAAGAATGTTTGTCATATCTGGCAAGTTTTTGTTATCAAAAAAATATTTTACGTTCATACCTACCAGTGTTTTTTAATTTTACTTGAAATTTCTAATGTAGAGCACATAAGTACTACTAGAAAAACTAATCGTTATTGAGTGTAAATATCTTTATTATCAAATCGTAAAACTTACACACTTTCAGTGACAATAACAATTTTTATTGATTAGTAAGCTATATAATAATAATAGTAATATTCAATCTAATAATTTAATGAATAACATATCGCGTGACAAGTACCAAAATAGCGTATGAAAATTTACTTTTGCTAGTCAATTTGCAAACATTTTCTAAGCTTAGAACTGAAAATAAATTTTCCAAAATCTACAATGAAAAAAACGTTTTCGTGGTGTGCGTCATTGTGTATTTCAATTTAAAAGTGAAATATTTTGCAACCACGCACACTAAATACGTTCCAAAATTTTTTTTTTAATTTTTAAATTTACAACAAAATTTTGTTTTAATTTCTAGAAAATCATATACAATATATAAATCATGGATTTTTTTATATTTCATGAATAAGAGTATATATTGAATTAAATTCATTTATTTATTCCTTTTTATCATTGTAAGTGTGTTTTATAGAATACGAGAATAATATTTCGGAAAAACTTCGTTTAATGTTATACGAAATCCACTCACTGTTTTTTCAAACTAATTATTAATGAAGAAATTTATTTAAAATCATTGAATATAAAACTTTTCATTTAAATGTATTATTTGTTCAAATCTTACGCTCAATTAATTAATTTAATTTTTTATTTTATTTATCTGATGAAGTCACACAACTAAACTCGTCAAACGAAGTCGCGCGAATAAATTTAAGGAGTGACACGATTCATGCGATTTTTACACGACTTGTTCTGTCTGAGCGACAGCAGCCAGTCATTCGTCTAACTAAGCCTGCAATCCGCTGGCGAATTTGAGATTTTTGGGATATTGACTTTTGGCGTCGTTTTTTGTTCCAAGTCTGAAATTTCTTGATAATTATTTCGATAATCAGTACCAAGATTGTCCATGAAGAGATTAAAGGGATTATAAGATAGTCATATTCGAAATACCCGAAGTCTAATTGTTCATATTGTTCTGCGGTTTTGAGTCTATCAATTATTTTCTTTTTCTGTAACATTCGCTCAAAAAGAGATTTTCTTCGGTGATAATCCGCGTGCCCGGTCTCGACAAAATTCATCGCAACCTTATCGAATTTATCTTTGAGTGGCCATTTTTTTCTACTAAATAATACTTCATACTCGTTAAAATATGAGTATTTAGATAAATGTATATCATCATGAATTTTTTTAAGATTAAGATGAAAAGTAGATATAACACAAGCAGTTGAGGCATTTTGTAAAAGAATTCGTTCGCACTCTAGATAATTAAAGTCATCCTCTAAGTGTAAATATTTCTTATCCGAAGTATCCGACCACAGTCCTGTCATTATTATTTCCTCATCCATTATATAATCATAGTATACATGTAATTTGTTTTCACGCAACTGTTCTAGGGTATCGACTTGTTGACTTACCGGTTTCGCGAGAGCACCGAATAAATAACCCTCCAACACAGGATTAAAAATCAACATAAATACAGTCGCGAAAAAAAAGGATAGTTGCATTGACAGTAGGTTCATCGGGACCTTTAAATCTATGTCTAACATCAGCGACAACATATCTGAGAGAGTGTTGCGGAGATGATGATGGTGATTTACATAAATAACAACTAGAATCATCATCAAAATGAAACCCGACATAGTAGCTGTCCAAATATTAAAATAACCATCTACGATTTCATCCATTACCGGAACGGTGCTTTGTTTTCGCGTTAAAATTACGTAACTACCTTGATCATAAAAAGCCATAACGTCACTAGACTCTAGGGGAACAAATTTTAACTGGAGCACGCGTGCATCTAAGTCATTTGTTCCAAATTGTATTGATCGATAATCCAAATCAGTATTCACATACGATTCTGGTGTGCTGTTCGTTACTAAATGCAAAGTTTCAAACAAATCTTTATAAACTGATGGCCAATTTTCAAAATCTGGTAGCTTACCGATTAAAACATATTTTTTTGGAAAATCTTTAAAACTCAAATGTTGACTTTTTATTGGAAATCTGTCTAACCGTACCGATTTGTCGAATTTGATGCTCTCACAAATCTCTGCATCTGCGCATACAAATAGAAAAGTATAAATCGAAAAATGTTAAATTAAAACCTCAAAAATATATAAATATACTATACCATTAACGAAAAATTGACTGAAGATCGTCCATCTATCTTTCGAATCGCCATTAATTTCCACCTGTTGCCAAGGCTCTGGTGCGTAGTTTGAAAAAGGGTTAAACGTAAAGATCAGCGTTTCATTGGTAGACTTTTCTTGACAGATGAAGAATGATGAAATAGCTTCTATTCTCCACATTAACTTCAGCACGTCTATCGAATCCTGACATTGCGTTCCAACAATGACGAACAGCGACTTTGGGTTCCAAATTTCTGCTGATTTGATCTCACGAATGATTTTCCCCAGTCCATCGATTGAATCACCAGATAAAACAAAAGATGGATGCCGTGGATAGTATTCTTTGATGACTTTCGATAAAAAGTGATCATCTATGACAATTATCGATGGTTCAGCAGTTTCATTCTTTGGGATTTCATACACGACATCAATCAGATCAACAGTAACGGCCACTGGCTTCAATTCATCCGCAAAGCACATTTCAAGCAACTGCCTCTGTTTCGAAAAAAATCGACATAAAATAACTATTTTCATTAATTACTCAAAACAAATTACCGTATGGATGTGAAAATCTGGAGGAACATGTCCTGAGACACTAATCTTGTCATTGCACTGGACCACACTACAAACAAACAGACATAATATAATAGTTGTCACACAGAATTTGATATTTTCCATAACGTTTGCTCTCTAGGAATTATCCCTTATGACTGACGCATCAAGTAGCTGATTCGATAATATACATTGCTAATCGTTAAGGATACGTGTCCACTTGTCAGGACACCACGTATTTTTTTCCGCAGCTGCGTATTCGTATTCAAGTACTTTGCGTGCTTGCAAACTTGCATACATAAGCTCTAGGGGACTTTGCTCGGTTTAAGCGGGTGTGAAAAAAATATTCTTGAACGAAAGGAAACGCATTGTTTATCGATTATAAAAAGCAAAGAGACTTTTGTATAATAGGCTGTATAAAGTCTAAATTTAAGTGACTACTGGGCAATTACAATTATTGAACTTCATAACATTTACACTACTTGAAATTTTTCAAAATTAATACATTTTTCTTCAATAAAGAATTTTATTAAATTTAAAAAAATAACCTTATGCATGATTTTTATTTTTTGTGTTCATTTAATTAGACATTTTTGATTAATTTTTAACTTGCTGATTTCCCATTATATTACTGCTTTACAGTTAAGTGTGTAGTGACAAAAATATATGTACATACAAGTATTTGCTCGACTCATACAAAGTACACGGTTAGAAATTTGTTGCGTTAATAACTCAATAACTATAAGTGATATCGACAATCAGAAAAAAGATCCTTAAAGAGGAGGAAATTTCTGAAAAAAAGTCTCGACTCTCGGAACTCTAGCTCCATAAACAATAATTTTTATTTAATGTTGAAAATGGGTTTCCGCGCGGCTGCTGTTCTACTCGGGCCTCGATGCGCCCGTGTGTACATCAAGCAAGTTCAAAAACCAAGAGAATGATTTACTTGGATTAAGAGGTTTTTTTCTTCACTTAAGTTGGTAAGCCTGTTGGAACTAGGGAATATTTGATTAAACCAAGATTGACCAAAATACAAGAAAAAAATTAGGAAAACGGTTGACCCTAAAGGCCATCCCTGCAACTTCCCGCCAATTCTATACCTAAACGCTTGAAATTGCACTTATGAAGTTTTAGAGCTCTCCGAGCTCAAAAAAATAACTTTTGTATGCTTTTGAGCTCTTCGAGCTCAAAAGTTTGATAAAACACTATTTTTTGAATTTTCAAATCGCAATAACTTTTGAATGAATGAACCGATTTTCACGCGGTTGGCGGCATTCGACGCAGTTTTTTAAGCTTCATAAAAAATCTTTGAGTTTATATCGACAGAGTGGAAAAATTCGGAGTAATTTCGAAAAAACGCTTTTTTCGGTTTTCTTTCGTCAACGATAACTCACGAACGAATTAACTGATTTTGACCGGACTGGCGGCGATCGACATGGTTTTTTGACGTTAAGACCTGATTTGATTTTGAAATTGATCGGTAGAGCCGTTTAAAAGTTATTTCAAAAAAACCACTTTTAAAAAAAATTTTTTTTGTAGTTTTTTTACGATTTCTCAAAATCTATCGGTCCGAATCGGTTCAAATTTTCAGGAAATCTAAGTTTGGGCAAGCCTTTTCGAATGGCACCAACCGCGATCAAATCGGTCAAGCCGTTCAAAAGTTATAAGAGGTTTACATACATACATACATACACACACACACACACACACACACACACACACACACATACGTACAGACATACGGACACCACCGCGAGGGTAATCAGGAAAGCTTACTATGACCTTAAAACGTCGAGATCTAATGAAAACTCGATTTTTGCAAAACGGGATGAAAACAATAACTTCCCGATTTTTGAAAATCTGAGATTTTTAGCGGGAAGTTAAAAATTTACTTAACTCAAGAATATATTTTTTATCTTCAGTTGAATATACTTGGATCAAGTAAATATTACTTGACTCAAGATGACTTTTTTTTCTGTGTAAACTTTTTTCATTTTTTTGAAGAAAGATCATTATATGATCAAGCTTATCAAAACTAAAAAATATAAACTTATCTCTACTATTAAGTCTTACGCATGAATGTCCTTAATCAATTTAAAAAATTTTAATCATTTTCACAATCATTTTTCTTTCTGGCTTCACGCTTAAGGCATGCAAAAAAAAATGAGGGAACTTTCTCAGAATATGTTAATATTTACCTTATCTCGTTCTTTCTTATCATCCGGAACATTAGCTATAAATTATTCCAATAATGGTTATATATTGGTGGATGTACATACATAGCAATATGAAAATGTATATATATATATATATATATATATATATGTATATAGGTAAAGCAATTTTGACAGAACGAGAATAGTAGTGTATACACCCGCATTCGCATCATTGGTGACGCATCCTGATATTGCTATAAGCCTGTAACCACTTCAGATATCATGTCGATAAGAACTTCCAGTTATCTGCTATTCAAATATATTTCCTTGATATTACATATCTGTATTTTTTGTGTATTTGAATTAAAAAAATAAATTTAAATTTAAATTTGAACATAAACTTCAAAGACTTTAATATTACCAATCCTTCAACTGGATAAAATATCCTTTTACCTAACATCATATTCATATAGATAAAAACGTTTTGAATTTATCGATTTTAAAAAAAAATATTAAAATTTAAGATGTGAAAAACAATTTATCATACGATAATCTGCGCGATTATACTTGGTAAATATTAAAAATTTATAAACATTATTTTATCATCTTTTATGAGTTCTTATTCATTTCTTCAGCGGCATACTCTTTTATTTTTTGTTTTGCGACAAAATACTATTGCATACTCTTTTCTCACATAAATTTTATCCAGTAATATTTCATATAATACTCTTTCATTGTTAACATTTTGGCTATAAAAATTCTTTCTAAAATCGATAAATTATTTATTTCATTTTGAATTTCAAGGATCGAGCTTTGAAATCTCAGAAAATTAGTCCAACGATTTTTACAAGTACCAGTCGGTACTCCTGTTATGAATATTTTCCTCCATTTTCATTTCAATGATACTTTGTACACTGATAAAAAAAATGAGTTGATTCAAGACAAACTTTTTCTTCAAAATGTCATTCTTGTTTTAAGGAGGTTCGAGCAAATCTAATGTGAAAAATAATTTCCATCTTTGAGCTTTTAAATTTAATATAAGTATAAATAAATACATCATTTATCTAATCCCAAAATTTTAAAAACATTCACCGTTTAGTTACTTAGATATTCAATTTCAAAAATCACATTTTTTATCTTCCTATACACGGACTCTTATGGCGGACAAACTTTTGTCGAGACTTTAATTATTTTTTTCAATATCAACCTCCCAACTTCAACGAATAAAAAACTATACACAAGAAACTTGGATTATTGTAAAATTTAAAAAAAATTTAATAATGCATTAGCGATATAATTTTTGAAATATTTAAAGTTTAATTTCATGTTTTTGACTCGTTTATCGTCAGCTATTTATTCGAATAAAGATTTGGCAACGTCGCATCAACAGCTGAGAAAAAAGAAAAGGATAGAAATATAGTTACAGAGAGAGAAATATTTAACTCACACACTCATGCACGTCTCTGTAATGGATATAATCAAACGCGCTGTTGCCAAATCTGTTTATTTAATCCGGCAAGTAATAAATACGAAAGTCATTTTATTACTTTATTTTATTAAATAAATAAAAATCATCAATTATTAAATTGTTCAAATTATTTTAAATTAAGATAAAGAATTTTGACGAATATTGGGAAGACTGAAAGTAAAAAAAATTTAAACATTATTTTGACTTATAAGTTACGCTCGAACCTCCCTAAGTAATTCAATTCTCTTAGCTTAAGAAATTGATTCTCTTATCAAGAAGCTTGGTTCTTTGTATTTTGTATTCTTTGTTCTTCTTTGTATTCTCTGTATTAATATATATTTTTCGGCATATAGAGGAATATAAATTTTTTTACTTTAAAGTTTTTTTTCTGACTTAAACTTATAACATCAACAGATTCGGTAGAATCTGGCGCCAAGTTCCGTTCTCAAGCCAGACTACCGAGTGTGTATATATCGTAAGCAGAACGGTTTTTTGAGGTTACAAATTTTTTTTAAAATTTAATTTGATTTTTTTTTTTATATGATATTTTATAAAGCACACATAGCTATATGCACAATAGGCTCACTTCTGGCAAAATCCAAATCAGACGCATGGCAAACTAAAATCAAACTATTCGACAGCATCATCTCACCTTCACTCCTATATGCAGCTCAAGTGTGGGGTCTCGACCGTCTGGACATCATTGAAAAAACACAAGACCGCTTCTTAAAACAAATCTTTCTACTTCCTCAGAACACCCCTGGATATCTATTAAGGCTTGAATTCGGACTTACCAGGTTATCAGTAAGACTTATGGAATACGTGTGGAATTGGATCATCTGCATTCTGAAGATGGCCCCCGACCGATGGCCTCGCTTATGCCTGCTGCGACTTATCAAGCTCTCGACAAGCCCGAACAAGGATCCCAAATACAACTGGGTGGCAAAATTAGAATTAATCCTAAAGCTATGTAACCTTGAGTGCATGCTTGGTAATCTTCAGCCAAACTTCTGGATGGAAAAGAAGAAACTCTTCCTGAAACTTTATGCTGAACATCTCAAAAATAACGACCTTATCAGGTACTTGTGTTCAACAAGTCCCCAGTCTCAGCTCATCAGAACCCGATCTGATGATGTTCCATGGTACGTTCAAACCAGGTGCCCATTATGGCAAAAACGTGTTGTTGCACAATTAAGACTCGCAAATATCCACCGATGTAAAATTACATGCAATGACACCTGCTACTTCCTGAAATCTGATCAAATATGTGAAGCTTGTGGTCTTAGCCTTGAGTCAGTGGAGCACATCCTTCTCCATTGCCCAGCATACAGCGAACTCAGACATAAATATCTACGTATCTCCGAATCATCTCAAATGACGCCGAGTGCGATGCAGATCATTAAAATCTTGGAAATTAAATCCAAACTTGAACTGGATAATATTACAAATTTCATCTCAATAAGTGCATTAAAGAAAAGAACACTCCTCTCATCAACGAGCCCAGAATGATAACAGTGTTGAATTCTGACTTGGTTTAAATTGCTTTAAACTTGATTTAAAGCACTATAAATACTTTTATATTTTTCAACCAAATATTTTTATTTTTTTCTCTCTTTCTATTTAAACTTTATTTAGTTTGACTGATGACTCAACTATTCTTACCTAACATAAAAACC